GTGGTGGAGGTTATGCTGCTGCTGGATCTGGATACGGTGGTGGTGCTGGTAGCGGAGAAGGAGGTGGTGGCTATTAAATTAACCCGTGAAATCATATCTTACATGGAACGTGAAGGCCACTGAGTGAGTGAAGTGTCACTACACGTTATTAAGAGACTAAAATATTTTCAATATATATGTGGCTATGTGGGTAATAAATTACATAGAGTAATCCGATCCTTTGTATAATAAGCCTCAAAAAAGGCGGCTATATTGTTGAAGCTTCAAATTTGTAACAATGTATTAAGCTACTTTCGTGTGGGTCAAGTTTTTATAATGGAGATGAGACACTCACAATTGTTCCTAATTTCATGTTATATAAAGTACAAGTTCTCTCATTTACTTCTTGGCTTTGATTGGTAATAGTTTTGCGGAATGCATACTTCTTGGCTTTGATTGATAACAGTTTTTTGGAATGCATAATTGCGGAAAAAAACCTATGAAATAAAATAAACGATTTAAAACTCACTTTTCTGTTTAATAGATTTTTTGGTATTTTTGTTAAGCTGAAAACGCAGACTGCGTTTTCACGTTTTATTTTTCATTCCGCAAATTTTTTTTGATTGACAAAATTCTACAGATTACCAATCACGTTTAAACACAATTCCGCAGATTACCAATCATGCCCTTGTTGGTACGTTGTTGTGAAACTTGTGATTTACAGAATAAATGGGCATTTTACTCGAAAAAGCCCAATTACGATTTACGACGGTATATTTACTGATTTAAAAGGCCCAAACGTTTAATAGTCGGGTCGACCCGTAATCGAGGAAGAATCAGATCCGACCCTAAGTGTAGCCGAGTAGCGTCCCCGACGAGTCGCATCTCTCAATCTCTTTCTCTCTCGCTCTCTCCCTTCCTCCGTCTGTGAAAAGATGGCGGCGAGACCTGAAGGAAGTCCGCCGGAGGTTACGCTGGAGACCTCCATGGGTCCTTTCACCGTCGAGGTTCCTCCCTCTCTCCCTCTCTTGCTATTATTTCCTTTTGGCTGTCGAGTAAACGTTTCGGTTAATTACATTCATGTATAGCTCGCACGAACTTGAGATCTAGATTTTTCTTCTCGAATCCTACTATGCGTAGATTTGGGGTTTAGGACGGGGTTTTGGGTATACAGTGTTTTGATTTAGAGTTCCACCTATGTCAATTCCTCAGATGTATCACAAACACTCCCCGAGAACTTGCCGGAACTTCATCGAGCTCTCCCGGAGAGGTTACTATGACAACGTTCTGTTTCACAGAATCATCAAGGTCTGTTTTCCTGTTTCCATTCTAACTCTTCGTTGTACTGAGAACACTGTGATAAAGTTCAAGGAATTTGATTCCTTTGGAATTGATTTGTTTCAGGATTTCATCGTGCAAGGTGGAGATCCTACCGGAACTGGAAGAGGAGGCCAATCCATTTATGGGTACGTTTCAATGTTTATCTAATCATATCCTTTCTTTAATCAATGCTTGCTTTGCTGATTGATTCCATGGATGTGTTAGTAAACGAAGTTGGATCAGGAATATGGCTAAACTCTGATGGAAGTTGTAGTAAAGTAGCTCCATTAGGTTTTGATTGATTATATTCAGTGCAAACAGATTTAGTTTCCTTTTCGTTTGATCTTCACTCAAGACTTACAGAGTTTTCTGAAATTGAGCAAAACTTTACTCAAAATGTTAAGCTCAAGTTGCTTCATGCGTAGTCCGAATAATTCTTGTTTTGGGTCCACTGATTTGTCCCAAAGGCTTGGAATACCAAAGGTTCTAGATGATAATTTCATGTCGTATATTGTTTTAGCATTGTTTATATATGGGTCTTTTTTTCTTGTTTTTGGTACTAGTTCGAAGTTTGAGGACGAGATAAAGCCAGAGTTGAAGCACACAGGAGCTGGGATTTTATCAATGGCAAACGCTGGCCCCAATACAAATGGGAGTCAGTTCTTCATCACTTTAGCACCAGCACCGTCCTTGGATGGTACACACATTCATCTTTGGAAAACACCGGTTTAATTTGCTATGATGTTTTGAGTTCTATGAAGTGAATTGTCACTCAATGTTGCTCTTCGTTTGACATCTATATGTTCATCTTCCAGGAAAGCACACAATATTTGGCAGAGTTTGCCGTGGTATGGAGGTGATCAAGAGGCTCGGTAGTGTTCAAACCGATAACACCGACAGGTAAGGTTACTCAATTAGGAATCAATGAGAATCACTGAAAAAACCAGGTGATTGAAGAAAATCTCTTTTTCTTTTGTCAAATTTCAGGCCAATCCATGAAGTGAAGATCCTGAGGACCAAAGTTATTGATTAGAGTCATTAAGTAAACGACGATGACATGAAGACCTATAACTATGTACTGATCCTTGTTACTGGTTTTTATCAAGAAAAAAAAATTATAAGTCAATTCACTTTTTATCATTTGTAATCTTGGGTCCTTCCTATCAAGTCATCTACATCGTAATTTCTTTATATTGAAATGATATTTTAACACACTAACAAATATTCAAAACTTGATATACAATGTGCCCTTGAGATCAACGGCTCAAAAAATAACACGTCATTAAGATTTTTGTCAGCGATTCTTCAAGTATTTGGCTTACACGTCACTAAGTTTACTCATCCGCTAAAAATCTATCCCTCTCTCTCTCTGTGAAGGAAGCGACACGAACAATGGCTTTCGCTGCAGCGGCTCTCTACTTTACGCCTCCCTTAAGCCTCCGATCTCCGGCTGGTTTCCTTCACCGACCCTCCAATCTTTGTCGACTTCTCGTTCCTCCGAAGATTGGCGCAGCGAGTACCAGAATCGGTGGAAGCCGGAAAACTAAGAGGCCATTTGTAGCAAATGCTCTGCCGGTGGAGGAAGACGGAGTTTCTCTGGGTACAATGAAGCTTCCCGTAGATACCGATCTCGCGAGATTTGAGACCCTTCTTTTTCAGGTAAAATGTGATTCATATAACATGCAAAGCTGGAATAGCTCAGTTGGTTAGAGCGTGTGGCTGTTAACCACAAGGTCGGAGGTTCGACCCCTCCTTCTAGCGATATTTTCATTTAATGATTAATTAGCTGAGTGATTTTCTTTATGCAATTCTTTTTTTGCAACAGTGGGCTAACAGTCTTTGCCAAGGAGCCAATATACCTCTTCCTGTTCCTCTAAAGGTAAATTGCTCTTTCTTTTTGTGATCGATCGAAATCTATAAACAAAACGTGCAAATTATAAAGTTTATGAAAAGTGAAATTTTTTTTATATCAATACACATCAGTGGCTGTAATTATAAAAAAATAACAAACAAGCAACCACAAGCAAGTTGTAAGTGTGTGTACTTGCATATGGTTGATTAAAGAAGAATAATAATAACAAGCTACAATTTTCTTTGATTAAAAAAAATGAGCAGGTGGATAGAATAAGTGGAGGAGCGAGGTTAGGATTCATAGTGATGGAGGATGAAGGAAAAACTGATGTTCCGGTTTACATCGACTGTTTGGTTTACCAGAGCACAGAGAGTGGTTCTGGTTCAGGACCGGTGTTCCGAGCTACGCGTAATGGTCGGAAGAAAGACAAGGCACCTCCGGGAGAAGAAAGAATCATGAGAAGCCTCTTAGGAGCTCTCAAAAGAGCTGTGGAACTTGCTCGAGTCACATAGAATTTGAATCTAGAATCCAAAATGTCGAGACATGTCTCGTTTTTATTTGTTGTCTTTGCATTGTCTCTATAAGAACCAATCTATTTAGCCAAAAAAAAAAAAAAACCAATCTAGTCGATAGTTGTATAAGTTGTAACATTTCAATAGTTCTTAAAATTCTAAATATATAAATTAAAGTTGCCTTTGTTTCATCAACTGACAGTTTGGCCGAGTGGTCTAAGGCGCCAGATTTAGGCTCTGGTCCGAAAGGGCGTGGGTTCAAATCCCACAGCTGTCAGATTTTTTTTTCGTTTTTTTTTCTATTGCCCCAATTCAACAAACGACGACGTTACTTATGACACACCCAATTAGTATATGCCATGGGCTGTACTAAGGCTAGCTCAATAGTTAAGGTTCGGCCCAAAACGTAATTTTGGAAACCCTAAACGAAGGCTTATCGAGCTCACTCAGTCGTCATAAACCCTAATATAAATTCGATTTCTAATTCGGCATTGCAGCTCTCTTGCCAATCTCTGTGTAGGCGGAACTACAGGAAGAAGAAGCTCTTTCAAATCCGAGTTGATCTTTTACTTTTCTTCGCCTAACCATGGTAAGCTTCCTCTGTATAAAGTTTTCTTCATTTTTCTAGATAATCCCTCTGAAGATTCTCGTTTTTCCGATCTTAATTTGTTGTTTTTTGGATCCTGAATTTGTTAATATAGTTGGATAGATGGGTTGGATTGTTTGAGAATGATATTAGTGATTTATGTTTATGATCGAGCTTGATTATTGAAGAGATATCAGAGATTCGATTTTCCAATTGAAATTAATAATTAGTGATTTATGTATCATTTTTGGCTAGTCGAGGAGGAAGACAAGAGAGCCAAAGGAGGAGAATGTGACTCTTGGACCAGCTGTTCGTGAGGGAGAGCAAGTTTTCGGTGTCGTCCACATTTTTGCTTCATTCAACGACACTTTCATTGTGAGTTAATCACTTCTTTTTTTAGTGCCTTATTATTGAGATATCATTATCCATCTACACAGGAAGCTGACATGATCTCTATAAAATTGCAGCATGTTACTGATCTTTCTGGACGTGAAACGCTTGTCCGTATCACTGGTAAGCTTCTATTATTGATTGAGCGCAAATGTTATCATTACTCATCCCTTTATAGGATGAATTTATAACTGATTATTCTTGCTTCTGATGTTATTGTCCTTGTAGTCTTTAGTGGCTGTGAGATGAAGTTATATTTAGTCTCTAAACAACTCTCGTGTTTTCAGTTTATTGAGTTATCGCTTGTTTTGTGCTCCTTTTCATTTCGATTTAGGTGGAATGAAGGTGAAAGCTGACAGAGACGAGTCCTCACCTTACGCAGCTATGCTTGCTGCACAAGATGTTGCTCAGCGATGCAAGGTGCTTACAATATTTATATATATGACCATAAGATATTCGTTAGAAAACTTAAGGCCTCCCACTTTGTTCATGTATGTAAATGTTTTATGAACTACTATTTCAATACACAGGAACTTGGAATCACCGCCATGCACGTGAAGCTCCGAGCCACGGGTGGAAACAAGACCAAGACACCTGGTCCCGGTGCTCAGTCTGCCCTCAGAGCCCTTGCTCGTTCTGGCATGAAAATTGGCCGCATTGGTAAGCTGCATACCATAATTTCATCTCAGATTACACTGGTTTAATTTGTGTTTCTTGATTGAGCCTTTCTAACATTTGAACTTGTTGTTGCAGAGGATGTTACTCCGATCCCAACAGACAGTACCCGCAGAAAGGGTGGTAGAAGAGGAAGGAGGCTCTGAGTTTTTGGCCTTATTGAAATGTCTTTGTTTACTTCCATGTGTTTCATTTTGTCAGAATTTGGTGTTTCTTAGATTGTGGAAGAGTTTTGGAGTTGAACGTTTTTTGTTAATTTGATCAACATTTTCCTACTTTGATGAGTCTTTGCCCGTTTTATTTGATAGGATGCGTTGAAATGGAATAATGAATAATCATTTAATGTGAGAGCTTCTAAGCATCTTATTGGGCAGTTTGGTTATGGTTATTCATTTTAAACAGAAAACTTAGGTTACTGCATCGGATGAAAAATACGACCTAATTAAATGAAATGACGACGGCAAGCGCTAATACTAAGTTTATTTTCTGCCTGTGTTTGTCGAGAAAATTCGTGGGGATTAATTTAATTAATGTTAATATTTAGTTTGTCAATTCAAGAAGGAAAGCCCATAGTTTATGTGCTCAACATCTATGTGCTAAGTTAAGGGCAACCTGTGAACCCTCACGAGGTTCATACCAAATATTTTATAATAAAATTTTGAAGAGTTAAAAATTTAGAACCTCTCATTAATTTGGTCCTCCATTGGTGAATCCCTGATAGGGTTATTAAAAATAAAATGGTGGAGGAATTGGAGAAAACAAGAGCAGAAACAGAGGAAGTGAAGCTGTCTCTTCTTCTTGTAGATACGTTTGAATATATCGTGAAACTCAAAAAGACATCGCCGGAAAAAACTCAATTCCGATCAATCCAGTACAAACCCATGTCGTTCATCAAGTCTCCGAGCATTGAAAACCTCAAATCCCACCAATCCATCAACAAATTTTGATACCGTCATCGAATCCAATTTCCGTCTGAGATCCAGACACCATATTAGCATTCAGAGACATCAGGAAATTCTACAGTCTAGGAAAATCAATAATCTTAAGGTGATTTTGGAATTTCAATCGGAGAAGACGAAAGAATAGCGATAAGAAAAACCAAAAAAAAAAATCGATAAAAAAGAAATTATTTCACCTATAGAGAAAGGACAGCTGGCCGGACGAACTCCTTAAAAACCGACTCCAAAAACTCTTCCGCAAGAATCGGTTCACAGAAAAAATGAGCTTTTACATTTATTTTAAATCCAAAAAATTATCTGGACCCACTTAAGAACCTATGATGAATCGCCAATGGAGCTGCCCTAAGAAATTTATTATATAAAGACTCAGTTGAGTCTCACAAGCTTGACACATAAGCTTATATCCTTAAGACACATCATTTACCACATGAGCTCTTCAAAATCATTTAAAAACAAAAAATCCATAGCTGAAATAAATTAAACATTTGTCATTGGTCCAATCAATTAAAGTAAAAACACCTTAAAAACGTTATATATTCTTATCATGCACGTTCAACCTTCCAACAATAATTACTTCAACCTTACTTATAATAATAAAATACATTGTATCTTAATCTGAATGAAACTCCAAAAAGAAAAACATTACAATATCCATTGTTGAACAAAAAAATAGAGAAACAGAAGAGACTGAACAAAAAAAATGTTTGCAAGTTGAAGAAATTTTAAGATATAGCAAAATAAGTTATTCAGTATAAAACGAACACTAAACAAAATACTGATTTTTCATCTATATTAAATACTTGTCGATTTTTATAGACAATTAGTTTTCACTATTTTCTTAAAATTATGGGTTCTGGCAATTGTTCTATGTTTAATTTTAAAAAACACTTCAAATCAAAGTTCATTTCTCTGTCTTTATAATTTAAAATAACAACGTCTTACAAATTAAAGTTATATTATTACAAATGTTCAGAAACAAACTAGCATATTTATTTAACAGGATCACAAACTCTCCATGTTACTTGATAGAAATAGATATTCAATGTAGAATTTTAAGAGAAATAATCAGGCAAAGAGTTTTTCTAATGAATTACATTTTGATTCTTAACTTGATGTTTGTAATTTGTCCACAGTTAACTATATACAGGGAATAATAATTCTTTTGAATTTTGGATCTGTGCTAATGATAGGCTATCTAGGTGTATTTTGTAATGAAGATGGTGAATTAAATTAAACTATTGTCAATTGAAAGTAAACCAAAACGCAAAATAGAACACATTGATACATCACGTTCTTTTGATGTCACCAACAAACAAAAAAAGACAAATAAGAGTTCCATAATGTAAAGTTATCCAATATTTTAATAGAAAATGTAAAAGAAACAATTCATCCATGTTAAGACTATTTGTATAATTCGGTAAATTTTTATGTAAGATATATGTTCTGATGTTTATAGCCAAACATAAAATACAACAAAGTAGTTGGTAAATAGAACAAAGAAAACCAAGTACCTAATGATTTGAGTGCTGAATCATAAAACTTAACCAATGTCAAACAAAATTAGATTAGTTTGCTTTAGCACAAATGAATTAGTAAAAAGTTTAATATCATAAAAAATATGGTATGTTTTTTAATTTGATTATGTAATTCATGTTCAGGTGATATTGATGTAGGTTAAATAATGACCAAATATCTGAAGAAAATATTTATTTAAACAAAGTTTTCAAATTTGTATATTAGATGATTAATTTTTAAGAAAAAACTAATCAAATCACTAATAATACATACACATAAATATATAGATTTATAAAAAAAAACCCGCATATCTATGCAGGTAATCATCTAGTATAAATCTAAAATTTTGGTTGGAAAGTGGTCTATTTGATTAGCCTATATCAGACAACGATTAAAAGATTAACATTAACCCAAATACAGTTTACATTAAAATTAAAAGATCTTAACTATAGTTTTCTGATATGTATGGAGTGTCGAAATGTCCATAAATTTGTGGGCTTTGGGAATATAGGGCCCATCTAAACAGACTACACCAAACCCTAGAAACGGACGTATAACTATTCTTCTTTTCATCACCTTCGCATTTTTGAGACTTGCGGCGAAGAAGACGAAGGCAAAGATGCAGATTTTTGTGAAAACACTCACTGGCAAGACCATAACTCTCGAGGTCGAGTCCTCCGACACGATCGACAATGTCAAGGCCAAGATCCAGGACAAAGAAGGTATCAATCCACTCGAGTGACCCTGCGTTTTAGCTTTCTGAAATGTGATTGTGATCTCTTATCGATTCGTTTTTCTATGTTTCAGGAATCCCTCCGGATCAGCAGAGGTTGATTTTCGCCGGAAAACAGCTTGAAGATGGTCGCACCTTGGCTGACTACAACATCCAGAAAGGTAAAAACTCGGTGAATTCTCTGGAGAATGAAATTTAGTTAAATGAATTATTTCCTTTAGCTATGGTTCTTATGTTGATTCAATTCCCTTTTTGATTTTAAACAGAATCGACTCTTCATCTTGTTCTGAGGCTAAGGGGAGGTATCATTGAGCCTTCTTTGATGGCTTTGGCTCGGAAGTATAATCAGGACAAGATGATTTGCCGCAAGTAAGCTTATGATTCCTTTGTTTCTGAATATTGCCATGTTTTGTGAATATAATTTAGTACTGCCACATTCAATATAATGTCATGTTCTTTTGGATTGTAATTTGTTGTTTCGCAAAATGTATTTGATCTTTTTGCAATGGTTTAGCAATCTAGTTCTTCATATCAATTGTTGCTTTTGTTATCTTGAGAGCATGAACATAAATTGTTTTTTTTGCTATTCCCATCCATTTTTACACTAAAATTTAAGTTGTTCGTTTAGTTCTGATCTATAGATATAGGAGTGTTTTGATGTAAATGATCCAAGTCTTGTGTGAAGTTGTGTCTCATTGTTGAGTAACGTTTTGATTTAGGTGTTACGCTCGTCTGCACCCAAGGGCTGTGAACTGCAGGAAGAAGAAGTGTGGCCACAGCAACCAGGTTTAGTTTCAGTTCCCTTGGATTTGTTTGCTTTACTGTTTGACTGCGTTTGCGTGACGAATTACTAACTTCTGGTTTCTGATTCTTTTGCAGTTGAGGCCGAAGAAGAAGATCAAGTGATCTGTTTTTCGCCAGAAGCTCATTTTTATCTATGTTATGTTTTTGTCTTTTCCCTTAAAAGACTCATCTCTAGTGTTTTGACACAAACTTGTTTCAGTGGATTTTTATTTTGCAAGATTATTCGTAACTCTGATTATTTTTGCCTTTTTAAAAAAATTTCGAAAAAGTCTACTCTGTTACTCTTAAGTTGTAGTTCATTAAACCATTAACCGTTCTACAGTCTATAAAAATGTCATCAACGAAAATGACATGAATTAGTATAACCGAGTTAGATGATTCAATGTTTAAACACCACCATTGCTAACCTAATTATTGAAAATTGATCAAATCAGACGACAGATTGTTGATGTTTAATTTGGTTTCCAATATTATTTTTTATTCTTTTTATTGAGTGATTAGTAATAGAAAGGTACAATACTCCATACATGAAATACGGACATGCACTAATCTCAAAGTTCCTCATTCTAATCTCACATTATCTCCCAGTTACTAACCAACATTAAAAGAAAGAAAGAAAAAGGCTAAATTATTGAGCTCCATTATTCATCTGCAAAGGACGTTGCATACTCCAAGCATTGAGACTCTCTACGTTCACGATTTGTGTCCCATTGTTAAACACATACAAATGCGCATTCTCTTTCACTGCTTTCACCGGATACACTCTTGACGTTATCACTGTCTTGCCTAAAGCTCCAAAGCTCTCTATTACCGAGTGATCAATCTGTAAATTATAAATTCCATTATGTCACATTACATATTTACATAAACATTAAGAAAATATCAAAGATTCTTATAAATACTTACCAAACTCCTTAGAGAAATCCTTCCATCAGCTAGATCAACATCCACAAAACCAGCAAACGATGGTTTATACATCTTATCTTGCTTGAGTGGACCCCTGTCTTGCTTTAACGACGAGCTACAACGAAATTAATGGTTTAATTCATCAAATGAAAACCATATTATAATATACTATCAAGCAAAAAAATTAAAGCATGGAGGGAGATCATGGAAACGTACGGTCTAGCATCGGAGCACATGAGAACCTTAGGCTTATGAGTGGAAGTGTCTTTGAAGACTCTAAAGAAGACAGGAGTGTATTCTTCCAAATCAGGAGTGGCTAATGTGATCAGACCAAAAGGTCCTACACCACCTGTCACATTCGAGCCTTTCATCTTACATAACTCCAACGGTTTCAGCTTGAAGCTCGGGTCGAATGTCTCAGCTTTCTCTAGACTTGGAATGTTGAAGGTTACTTCCACATCGGCCTGAGCAGGAGTGATTCCTTTGACTTCTAAGCGTTGACCCATTTTGATGTTTTGGTTGTTCATTCGGACGTAGTTACCTCTTAATGACTCTATTTCTTCAATAGGCCAAAACACTAGGTGCCTTTTGTTTGAGTCAAGAAGCACCGTTCTTGGAATTACCTTTAATCACCAACAATTAGATAATTGGTAAGAAAGTTTGTAAAAAAAAAATCATTAATCTATAGGTTTAGTTAAGAATTAAGACAGATAACCTGAAGACCAGCCCAACCCTTTGAAATATCATCTTCAACGGTGTCGGATTCATTGGCCCAACCCCACAAGATTCTTCTGTTCTTTTTGTAGTCAAAGAATGTCTTAGAGGCGTAGAAATTACCATAATCGAATCTTAAACCCTCCCAACCATCGGGTGAATTACCATCGGGTACGTACCGATCTTTCTTAGGATCATATTTGCCAAGCGTGTAATACTCGAACCGGGTTATGTCCAAGCTAACTTTCAACACGTGCTTGGTGTTTGGACCTACGTAATCCAAGTCCAAACCGTTCTCGAAATCGGTTGTGGAAACCGGGAAGAAATCAGGACATTCCCACATACCGGTTGATTCTTTTGAGTGAACCGGGTGCTTAGCTTTGACCCAATGCTTGAAATCTCGACTTCTGTAGATATAAGCGATTCCTCTATGCTTTCTTCTTGAGCCCACTACTGTTCTCCAGTGTCCATCTTTGGAGAACCAAGCCGTGGTCGGGTCTCGAAAAGCTGAACCATTCATAGTATAATCTGGCATCGCAATGGGGTTATCATCCGGTTTAATCCATTTCCTCAAGTATGGATCTGATGGATCCTCTGGTATTGCATAGTTTTGCAACTGAGTTTCATTTTTATTAACACCGGTATAGAGAATAATCGGTCCTTTTCCTGGTACAATTGTTATTGAACCGGACCATGTCCCCTTCACGTCGAACCATTTAGAGGGATAAAGAGCATGTTCAAGAGCCTCCCAATTCACCAAGTCTTTTGAAATTGAATGAGCCCATACAATATTTCCCCAAACTGCACCTTTGGTGTTATATTGGTAAAAGAGATGGTAGAAACCTTTGTAGTACAATGGACCTATTTCCAAAGAAACCCAAATTAGACTGTATTGTACTAGTGATGCACAATTAACATTAAACTAATGATGAGAATTAGAGAAGTATAGTATGATAACTCACCATTCGGGTCTTTTGGATTGTCGAAAATGCCACATGGAAACACACAAAAACAAATGAAAATGAGTTTAGTTTATGTAGAATTGTCAAAAGTAGATTTAGATTTTGAGGAAAAATAAGATAAGATAAAAGGAGAATCACATGAAAGTATTTGATAGAACAACTAGTAGATGAAATTAAGTGTGAAAATGAAGAGAAAATGTAACTAAATTACAAAGCACAGTACCTATCTTGGTATTTATTACCAGATCACCGATCTCTCTTCAACATACATATTGACTAATTAATTTTATTTGCAAGGTTTAAAAAAGAAAATAACATCAAGCTATAAAAAAATTGAAAGGGGAAATGAAACATTTCATAATTGTTCCCTGATTTAGTTATTAAAAGTTTTTTCAGATATTAAACAATTCGTTCATAAAGAAAAAGAATTTAAACAATCTGGAGAAGTAATAAATATGGGGTTTTGATGTAGGTTTTAACAAATTATTTATAAAGATCCATTGAAAAATTGTTCTTACATTTCTTTATATGACTGGATAATGTACATATATTTTATATAAAATAGTTTTTGACAGGCTACACTAACTACATTCCTTTCCACTCACAGACAGAATTTCCCTTTTGGCAACACAATCACAGATAAATATAAAAGCATAGTTTTTATAATACAACAATATAAGCATAGCTGCGTTCTCACGTGATATATGATGTGTTTTTATTGGCGCTACGATGTACTTCATATGCATCTATAAACTTCCCTAATAAACTAAACTAAATCATAGTTTATATACAAAAAATAAGTATAGCTGTGTCCTCACGTTATACATGCCGGGTTTTCTGTTGGTGCATATGAATCTCTAAAGCTAAAACTTTCATACTCTATACATATAATTTTTTTCTGTCATATATGCGTTCTGCATATATTACATAAATAAGTTTAAATATATATAAACCCATGTAAAAATTATTTTCTTGGCTTCCTATACATTGAAGGTGTATTATCAATACCTGAAATTACTAGGACATATATAATAATCTAATCGGAGAAGGAAGTTTTCTTTTCTGGATCGGGGAAGACTTTTTTTTTGAACATTTCATATGCGGAAGAAATATCTTCTTATAAAAAATGGTAGTTTTTTTTTGTAAAAGTATGAAGATGGTAGTTTTGTTGTTTCTTTCATTAAAATACTGGTTTATCACACATACTGGTGGTAGTAGAATCATATTTCATATAAGAAATAAAATTCTAACAGAAATCCAATTAGAAACTAAGCATCAAAACGAATATTCTAATTATAAACATTAATGAAGGAAAAAAACTATTTCGAACTATATATTATATTTCAAAGAAAGGTAGAGATCAATATACCATTAATCCAATGTTTCGGAGGTTGAAAGTGAAAAGCAGATCGGTGAAGAGGATTCACTGACTCGACGGATTGAGATTGCAATTTTTCGTAAACCTTATGAAAAGCCTCAATTCCTTTGATATTATTACTGCTTAAATTGATTAGTACAAGCAATAAGAACACGGAGACAATGTTTGAGACACCCATTGATCCAAAAACTCAGGATCCGATCAGTGGTGTTTGGTATTTTTGTGTGTAGAAGTGGAGTATAGTAACTTGAAGAATGTGAGAACTGGGTACGTGGGAGAATATAGTTTGTTGTCATGTTTATATAGGCGAAGGATGAGGAGGAAGGTAACAGAAAATAGATAATTTTTAGGATAAAGTTAATCCATTGCGGAGTTTTTTACTCTGACTATAATTAGGAAGATATACATCGAGTTTATTTTTTGATCTTATAATCTTTTTTTTTTTCTGTTTATCCAAATTAAAATTAAAGTTTTTTGGCCGGCAGTTTTACACCTTCTTTCGCGGGCTTTCCCGGTGTAATTATCCATAGTTTAATGCATGTCTTAATTAAAGAGTATTATTGGATTATATTTCCATAACTTATCTTCAATAATTCGTATTAGGGTTGATGTCCAAGGTTCAAGGACGTTGCATGTCCAAGGTTCGAATTGCGACAACAGGGAGGGACTAAATATTTAACATGATTTAGTTCCGGGGAAGAGATTATAGTGTGTCTAAGGTCTGATAATGTTAATATATAGTTTAACCTAATTGGAGATTACCAATCGTTGATTATTAACAAACTGATTAGCTTTTTCTTAACTAAACCAAAAAAAAAGAGATGAGACTTGATATTAACAGTATTTTAAAATTCACTTGTATGTATATAGATCAATTTAATCCAAGAACCAGTTGAAACCAGACCACTTAGAGACAGTACGCGAGAGTCGAGACATAACAAACCAAATGTCCGGTTATATTTGAGAAATGCCTTCACTAGAAAAGGCCATCACATCATAATGTCAAAAAGTGAAGCAAAGATTCTTCGCACAGTTTTAAGTTCACATTTTTAGCATTGAACTTACTTCCACACAAAACCCAATTTTCCGGTATGCTTCAAAATCAGATTTTATTTATTTTTCTTCATAAGTCCGGGTTGCCTTCAAAACCACTAAACCAGCAATACTTCCACAACTTTTTTGCTCGTTATGATGATTCTATTGCTATAATTGTGAAACAGCACCTACAAGCCTTTGCTTCTACCTTTTGTGTATATGAACCTGCAGGACTTATCACCAAATCTCGGGTTGACTCTAATTGAGGCTAGTGCTTAACGCAATATTCTTTAAACAATTGTTAGTTTGTTACCATACAATTATATATATATATATATATATATAAATGTGTATAATTCACTTTATTGATGTTCCACTATCTAAAATGAATGACCAGATACCAAAAACTTGGTATAGAAACCAGATTTGCCATTACCAGTGTCATAACATGTCATATACATACACAAATGAGATTTTTAATATAACTCCAAGTGAGTATCGCTGCTGAGTTGTAAAGCTTTGGAAACTTGCACGAACAAAAAGATGTTCATAATTACACACTGAAGTGGTTAAGGAAGATTCAAGGGAATCTCTCATGCTCATGTTTTCTAGAAATTTTCATGATATTGTGAGAAAGAAGAATCTTTTAAGTGGCACAGTGACTCTGAATTCACATACGCTACTTGATTTTCAACTTAAAATGTTCATTGTTGGGATTTGAAAGAATCTTCATGGTTGAGCCATATATAGAAAGTGATCAAGTGGTATATGCATGCACATCACAAACAACATGAACAAAGAAGACCCAAAATTTGCATATTGTTGATGTTTTAGAACAGACTCTCTGAGATCTTACATTGATATAAGAAATTCCAGTACTGAAATAGAAATCATACATTACAATGCAGGTGACAGAAATTAAATCCCACAGATAAGAGATTAGTTTGACGACATAAAACTCAGAATATGTGTCAGAATCATCTGACTATTCATAGATAGATTTGATCCCACACTTTCAAAAATGCAGACCTTAGGCAAAATATAAAATATGGATCTTTTAGTTATACCATAAAAACATTAAATGTATTAAATGATTTCACATTGATCGTATCCGTATATGTTTTTAGTATTGTGCATAGTTTGAACAAATTTTTGTTCTAAAATCAATTTTAAGCATGTGAATTAATTATTTGGGATGGTATATTTATGTTTTTACGAGAAGTTTATCCCTCTCCTAATGTTCTGTCTTTACAAGAACTCCGAGTAAATTGACCCAAAAAATAGAACAGTGACCGATATCGCCACCTAGCAATTCTAGAATAGATTATGAATATGGTTGCGTCAACGACGTTGGAAGACTACAGGTGTAATAATTTAAAAACCTAAAAGGTGTTTGATATGATATAATCTAACCTGGATTCCGTTTTTCAAACAAATAAGATTTTCGTATTTTGGGATTATAATTTACTGAAAAAAATACTTGCATATATATAGATTTATAATTTTATATTTTATAATCTGTGAAAAGTAAATAAAAATAGAAAACAAAATGACATCATTCGTAAAAATATACAATACATAAGTTAAAAAAAAAATTATCAACAATCATAAAATATTTATACAAATCGTATTGATTTCAATTCACATGTCAATCGACTTGGCGAGTTACTAACTTTGAATCATTTTCCTTTATATAATAAAATGTTTTTTTGGTGTATATTACTATGTAAATATTTATTTTTAGTGGTTTCTATTTTCTGTAGCTAGCAATCATTTTTTATATTTTTGATGGTGTCTATTTTTATTAAAATATCTTATATTATATGTTAACTAACATATACAAAACTCTAGTATTATGATAGTATTCACTAATAAAAATAAAGTAAACTGGAAATATATATGAGATTTTAGAATGCAAAATAAGTTTAGATAATAATAGATAATAGATCTACTTTTTAAATAAAAAATGATAATGGGCTATTTTATCAAATTTTGAAACATTTTTTTTTTCAAAAAAATATATGGGTGTTAGACCCAGGGCGGTAACTGGGACTGCACAAATGTGTACATAGATAATAGTTATACAGACAAAAGACACTGAGTTTGAGGTTTTTAAAAACCAAAAGACCGTAATGGAACAGAGGTGGTTCCCTAGTTGACTTGTGAGAGAGGCGACCGTGATAGCTGTTGCGATTTTGATTCATTGGTCGCAAAGGATTCATACGAATTGTTTTCGCGGAACTCTTCAAGCAATGTCTCCATTGGCATGGCCCGTAGCGATTCAATGGTGGCTTTGGTTGGGACCTCTGGTTCACTCCTCGATGGAGTTTTCCCTGTGGGCTCGTACTCCTGCGATTCACCAAATAAGATTATTCAGAGAGCGAAGAGAGTAATATTATTTATTATGCTTCGATAATGTGAGGAAAAACTTACCATGTATTTTTGTTGAAAAGTTTCTTGAGATTTATCCTCAATGCATCTGGCTTGGCAACAATGATCCTGTTGGAAACTTTCAAGAGATTTTTCGTGTGTCTTGACATTTTCCAAGATTTGTGATACAGACACTTTTTCGTCCTCTGACATGCCTGAAAGATTACAAGGATATCAGTTTAGACCTAAGAGATGTCTTTTAAGTAACCAGAGGAACAGTCATGGGTAAGAAAAGAGAACTCACGATCAATTTGTTGGATGATCTCATCGCTGTTCTTGGTTACATCTTCCTCAGCCGCAGTCCTTGCAGAATTTACTTCGGCATCGTGCTGCTCGTTATTATCACAAGCAGACTTAACAAGTGAAGAGACATCTGCGACTTGCTTACTGTTCATCTCCTTTAGAGACTCATGAGTTATCTTGCAGTGTTTGAAAGCTGATTCCGCATGACCCACACTAAAGCATAGGATGATACAAAGGTTAAAATACGTTACTGAAAGTTTGTAACTCAAAGGAATCGCAAAATTCATAGCAATGATCTTACGATTGCTGAAGCAGTAACTCCATTCGACAATGTTTCGCAGCCGAGAAATCAGCACCTTCCCTGGCGTCATTCTCAGCTTGCATGGAAAATGTCTCCCACTTTCGTTTTGCATCATTAGCCAGATTATTCACGGCAGAGACGTGTTCATCCATGAAAGTTTTGTTGGAAGAGACGGCATCTTTGAAGTTATGGAGTCTTGAATCCACCTACCAGGAAAAAACAATACAGTTTTATTATCATGAAGTGGAAGACAAAAAGAAACAAATGAAAGAAGAAGCAACGAACCAATTCGTGTTGGCGACGAATGTGAGTTGAGACTAGGTTGGTTAGATCCGCTATAAGTTTCTCTGTATCAGATTTAGACTGAGCCTGCACAACACACACCAGTTATTGATGGGCTCAAGCAAACATGTTTAGGATAAAACTCGAAGAGGTGTAGCATTATGACCTCGTAAGTCTTCTGAAAATCGATAATGCTGTTAATTTGACTATCATTTGCCTCTGCAGCACGATTCTCAGCATTTTTAGACGCCTCCATGAGCTTCTGAAAGAACGTACTTGTGTATTCAGACATCTCCTGTGTTTGCTCCATCGTTGTGTGGAACTTCTGCGTATTAGGAACAGCAGAGAAAACAATCCAGTTAACAGATTTTGTAAATCTCTACGGCCAATATATGTATAAGCTAACAAAATGTTATAACTCAGGGCACTAACCTGTCTCAATTCCCTCGCAAAGAGAGCCATTTCTCCCTGGTGGGTCGTAAGAGCATCCTGAAGTTCGTCAAATAACGAAGATGTTGTCCCATCCCCTGAAGCAAGAAACTGAATCCCACAAAACAACTTTTAGAACACACCAAAAAGTCACTAAAAGAAAAGGAAAGAAATTAACAAAGGTGTACCTCATCAATGGAACATGCACTCGAAGTCGTTAATGCTGAAACTTCCTCAAGACAAGCATTCGAGTTTGCCTTGTGCAAGCGGACTACATTCTGCACTGCCTCCAAGTGAGAACTATATAAATCCCTTGAAGCTCGAACCTTCTTTTTCATTTCGAGAATGGCCTGGACAAACAATTCTATTAAACTTTTAACAGTTTTCAGCAAAATTTAATGCTACACTTGGAAAAAAAAAAGTCAGACAAGAAACTATTCATTGATTCTTAGTATACCGAAGAACAAAACAGTTCATACCTTGTTGTGTGCCTCTAAACGAGATTGGGACAGTTTATTAACACCCTGAAGGTGTACTTTTTGCTGGGACAAACATGAAGCAACCATATTGAACAGATTGGAAATTTGTTCAGAAAGTTCGACTTGGAAATTGTCGACCACTTGTCTGTTATCCGCACTGAGCTTGTCCTCTCTTCCTGCACCCCCAAATAGATCATATATTAACAATTCTTATGATATTACTAATGAAAAAAACAGCCAAAACAGTGAATACACATACCAATTTTTTGGTGTAATGAAGCATTGTCTTTAGTAGCTTTCTCTAAGTTGGATTGCAAAATGCAAGCTTGTTGAACCAGAACGTTTTCTGGAAAATGCGGAAGCATGTTAGAGACAACTTTTCAAGCATCCGAACAAATAAATAATAAAAAGGATTAGTCTAATTTAAGAAAAAACCAGATTTTTTCTGCTCTGAAATGATGAAATCTTTCTCCTTCATAGCATATTGAGATTTCTTCAATTCCTCGTTTGTGGAAGCAAGCATTTTGCTTGTTTGGCTCAAGTTTTTCTAAAGAGCACAATTGAAGTCTCAGAGCATATTGATATAGTTATTAAGGCCCATCGAAAGGAAGTAAGCATTACCTCGGTAGTATCAAGACTGCTAGTCAGATCAGAGCACTCCCGCACTTGGCAGTTGTACTTGTCTTGCAACTCCTCAAGTTGCTGGCCGGAAAAAAAAAATGTAAATAATCTAACTTTAAATGTCATTTCTGACACTATCGTAAATAACAACGGTTTTTTGATCTACTGAGTAAGAAGAAACCAACTTTTTTATAATTCTCTATTTGACCACCCATCTGTTCAATCTGCTCAGCCATTGCCTAGAAACAAAGCAAAACAGGGATTGTATTAGTAGATGAGTAAGGAGGCGAGGAGGTTACAACCTATGAAAAATCTGAGCAACAGTTCTCAGAAACACAATACCTTTCGTTCACTCTCCTCTTGATAGTATCTCTCTTTTGGCATATAAACACCATTTTTCTCACGGGAAGCATAGACCTCTATAAAAACAAGGAAAGAAAACATATGAGTAATAGAGAAGCAGAGGAGTCAGAGCAGAAGACTTTGTATTGACTTGATTTATTAAGCTCAGTGAAAGTACTACATCAGTCACCCCTCCAATTATTCTATCAACGGGTACAGTGAGAATCCTCTTACCTGCCTTGAGCCGTTCTATTTCACCATAAAGGTCCTTTATCAATGTAGATTTCATCATTTTCTGGTTAACCTGCCAAAAAGAATACAAGAGTGCGAACATGAATTCTAGTTTTCAATGCTAAAGGGATACAAAAAATAGAGGTTTGAAATTGCTGAATGAGAAGATTATAATAAATGACATTACCTCTGGTTTGTTCCTAATATGCTTTGCCCTGTGTGCATAATCTAGAGTACTTAAGGTTTCCTCGAGACAGTGAACAGCAGGTGAAACTGTTGCTATGATACATGTCTTCGTTCTCCCACCAAGTGAATCACGTAGTAAGCGGGTGAGCTTACTATCCCTAAATTTCAGTGCAAGCAGGATTCAGCATAAGCTTGCAGCACTGCTACATGATCACTAACATAAAGAAAAAAAAAACCCAGAAAAGGAGCTTAAACCTGTAAGGAATATGTCCAAGATGTTCAACCAAAGCACTGATCACTCGCCCTAATGTAAGAAGACTTTTGTTTATTTCACCAGCTTCTCGAGCGCGGCCCTAGATAGAGAGAGGATATTGAGTAAGTTTGACAGATAATCTAGAAATTGAGAGGAAAGACATTCTAACTCAATTAAACAGTAAGAGGCTACTAACATCCCTAGCACCAGAACGTGAAATATTCTCTGATCCTGCCAAGTCAACCAAGTTCAGCTTGCCACACTTAATTAATTCTTCACCTTCCGGAGTAGCTTCTTTGATATGTATTGTTATTGAGAAGAGAGAATGTGACCGACTGAAAGTGAAGAATTGCATTATGTAGGAGAGAAACCTTGACATCAGAGTGCAAAGGAACACAAACATCAAAGATTTTACCTTGATTGTTTATTCAAGAATGTTTCTGCAGTTCGCCGTTTAGAGGAACCTCTCTCGAGCAAAGTGAAGATTTCACTGGCACTTGTCACGATTTCCTCTTCCAACCCTCTAACAAGAACACCACCTTTTCCGTCCTCCATTAAAGGTAACGGTTTCTTTTGTTTATCTTCAGAAGCAACTCTGGATATATCTTCAGGAGCAAGTAAATCGGTAATCTCTTCATTGTAGAGTTCCAAAAACGTGACTTTAACACTGTACTCAGCTTGCTGACCCTCAAGCGTATCAAAGATTTGTTTTACAGCTCTAGGTATAACACCTGCTTCTGCTGGGAGACCTCCACTAGGCCCGCCCTGCGCCAATTAAAATAGAGATAACTAGCTTAGATAGGCACCAGCAAACCTTATTAAAAAAAAAAAACACTGCAACAAAACACAGACCTTTGACCTTCTACATTCTCCTTCCATCGTATATGTTTTCCCTGTACCAGTCTGGCCATACGCAAATATTGTACAGTTAAAACCTTCAAGAACTTCATTCACGATTGGAACAACGGCCTGGTCATACAAATCTTTCTGTTGGGCCGATGGTCCAAACACCTGTATTCAACATATATAAACACAGATTCTCACTAAAGTCCATCGACAATCACATGATTAAGGTGGTTCTCGTTTACATAAGCAAACGGGCTGAACAAATGAACATTACAACTGTCTCGATACTGCAACGTTCCACTATAAATTATACCAAAGTACACTTGTCTCCTGAAACACACAGCTGTGGGATCCAAGCTTACAAATTGAGAGTAAATGGTTGTTAGTTCAGTTACCAAGCTTTTGAAATGAGGGAACTTAAGTTACTACGCAAATCCTACATACACTCAAACAAACCCTGAACACTTGTTTGGCTAACTAATCCCCCTCATTCACCATAAATCAAACTGCATATTATAAGCAGACTCCAGTTTTTTTTACCTTGTCAAAAGTGAAAACCCTATCGATGTGCTTCCCGGCGATGTTTTGGGAGACAGCAACTTCTCTTTGCAAATCATTACAAGTGAGAACCTGAGGAGCATTGTTCCTCAATTCATCATCACTAAATGGCCTGTTTAAAAAAAAAAAAAAAAACCCCAGAATTCAGAAGAAAAAAGTGTGATTGTACCCAGTAACGAAACCAGAAGCTAATTCAATTTGAAACATAAAATAAAATTAAATCAAAATGGGATTAGACCCAAAAGCTATCCCAGAACCCTAAATTCAATTTGAGAGTAGTTGGACTTGGATTGTACCTGCATCGAAGAAGAACTTGAACATTGACGCCTTTCTCCTTGTCGTGGCGGCCGGACATTTTGAATCGGCGGACGGACGGCGAATCCAGGGAGACTAATTTCAAATCTGCTGCCAATCGGCAAGATCCAAGTATTCTGTATTTGAAATTCTCTCTCTCTTCTCTCTTTCTCTCACTCCTCTTCTCACCGGCGACGGAATCTTAGTAGAGAGAGAGCGGGGTGGATGTGAGATTTGAATAATTTGAAGAGGCGCTCCTCTTTTTCTTTCGAATTTAACGTCTGTTCATGCTGAGTTTACCAATTTGCCCTTTCCTTCTACATGCCGACGATTACATATTCCCTCCCAAAACCAAGGTCCATAGTTTACTTATCAGCCCATTAAAGGCCCAAATAACCAAGTCGCAACCTTTTTTGCTATTCTTCTGAGTCCATCTGTCCGGTTTTAGTTAGTTTCTCATCAACTCTAAAGATTCGTGGCTTTTATGAAAGTTCGATGTAATATGGATATTCGCATCTCCTAGAGAGTGATGGACTAGTAGCTTTCGATTTTGCTTCTACTAGATATTTAGAAGAAGGTAAACAAATAAGATCATGTATCTTATGGACAATTACATAGAAGAAAATTATAGATTAGTTGATATGTTATTTGAGAGTGGTTTATAATCGCAAGATACTATTGTGTAATTTCGCCTTGTCAGTACTACTGATCTTTGTAAAAGTTGTTGGAAATGTTTAGACGTTACAAAAAGGAAAAAAAATATTGAGGCTTGTTCCGTTCTAATACAAGCTAACAAGTTTTTGTATTTTGGCAGTTGCGTTTTGACGAATATACAGACAACAGACTTTAGTAGAAGTTTATGGCATTTCTATTGGAAGTCTCTCTATGAATAGCTCACCACTCAAATTTTCTACCGTCTTAACTTCACTTTTGCATCTACCATTTGGAAAAAATATATATATAGATATGGACACTTATGTTTTATTATTCCATTTAGCAAGAGATCACATTTTTTTTTAAGTATAAATGCAAAAGAACTAGGAAAAATAAAGAATAAACAATAGATAAACTTTTATATTGATTGATGTTTTATAAAGTAAGATAACATACTGTATATCATAATTATGGAAAGGAATTACAAATTCCACGGGAGAGAGAAAAATAAGAAAAGGAAAGAAAAGATCCACACCACGCAACAAAGGGGTGTTCACTACACAATGCTGTAATAATGAATGTACCACAAATTTTCACAATCATTTCCTATGATGATTATTATATATATTTCCTAAAAACACTCTAAGAAAATATCAAAGAAACTCCTCGACAAAATCGCCGAAATCGAAGTTGCCGTTACAAGACTCGATGGCGTTAACGACGTCTTGGAAAACGGAGATGCTGCAAGGGACGACCAACATAACCTTCTGGTCGAAACAGTGGAACTCGTCGTGTGACTTGTCGAGAAGCATCCTGAACAGAGGATGGTTCAAATAGCTTGTTGGCACCACGCGCCTCACGCGCTCTTCCCCTACGTACACCGCAAACGTCCCCGTCGGCGTCTTCGCCGCCGTCGCGGCCATACCGTCCGCCTCACTGATCAGAAGAGTCTCGCTCTGTGTTGACTCGGAGCCGCCTTCTCTAATGTTGATGCTCTTCACTTTCTTGGCAAGATTCTTGAACGAAGCTATTCTTTTTCCCAGCATTTTTTTTTTTACATATATCTGTTTTTCTTCCCTGGAAACTTTTAAGATATATGTGGAATAATTAAGATTGTGAAGATGAAGAAAATAGAAGAAGAAGAAGATGGTTGGTGATTATATACCAAGATTAGAAGATGTATAAACAAATATAATAAAACGAGAAACGGCAAGCTTTGACTTTATTTTATTATTTTTTTTCCATCTTTGTTTGTCTGTGTTGACTTGTAATAGTGGGGTGCATTTCTTGGCGGAGAGAATTGTCTTTTTCAAAAACATTAAACAATTACTATGATAATAAAAGTGCATATATCTCGTCGTAAATCATGGCTACTTGATATATGTCTATGGAGTCTATAAATGAATAAATGTGGCACCCCTTATATCTTTTATACCTTAGTACATTACGCAAGCGATAACTTATCACGGAGGTTCGTATTCGTAATCGTACATATGGTCCGTGACATTTGATTAATATATAAGTGTAGGATTGTATATTCACGGCCCTTTATTCAACGAGATGATTGCTTGTGTCACAAAAAATAAACCAATAATTGTTAATGATGTTCTGATGACCAAATATTCAAGTTCAGTTAAGGAGTTGGTGATTGTCCTATACCTTATCGTATATAAACATAACTATAAGACGAACACTAACTAAATTAATAATGAACGGAAACAAAAAAGTATTTTGACATAAACTCTAGCATTTCTTAAGTGATGTTTCTTATATGTGCATGTGCATCTAACCATGTACATATAGTATTTGGTAGTAGGTAAGATGTCATAAGTAATGTCGTACTGTAGTGTATAACATTTATATATAGTTTAATGCTATATAAAAATAAGTGAGTCCAAGTCATGGAATAGCATGTTGACATATGTGCATGAATTTGTTGATTAACTTGAAAATATATCACAAATAAATAGTAAATCATTTAAGATTTTAAGTTGGTTAGTTTGGGTGGTTGTATGGGATGAAATTATTTCCCTATTTAAAATAGTACTATTTTAAAAAATAAGAAATTATTATTTGTAGGGATTGTATATACAGTATGTAGAAAATAATGATTAGCAAGGCGGCTCCTATACAACGAGAGCCTGTGACGGCTTCTAGTTGTTACCATTATCTGTTTGAAAATGATTAAATATTATTTTCTAATTATTTTATATTTTTAATTTATATATCTTGCGTTCCTGCTGACCATTGTGGTCAGCACTAAGACGAAACAAAGGTGATCAGTTTTAATTTATATCCAATTTCTTAAACGGTTAATCCCATCGTTATTTTATCAAGACCAACCTCCTAGGCTCAGGTTGTGAACATAAAGTAGATACGTGTAGAAAGAATTTTAGAGAAATTGTTTAGTAAATTTTTTAATTGCCAAAGCCACCCGAACAAGTTTATTGCCTTGGACGTTTATTGCCACAAGCTATACAATGATTGACCTTCTAAAAGCTACATGTACTAATCGATGAATGGTAAAAAAATCGTAATTATTAATAACTTGGATTTCAAATGTTAATATTTTTGTTTGAAAATTTTACTATCTAAGTATAGTTTTACATTTTAAATGAAATATTGTTTTGCCCGCATGTAGGTACTTATGTTGCGTTTAAAATTTCTACGAGATGATTAATAAAAATAGTATAACTTTACATTTTAATAAGAAAATAAACGCTATTATTTAACATGTAAACTAGAAGATATATAAGAGAACGAACCAAGGCTTTAACTTTGGACAATACATACTAAGTACATATGCTGATTATATATAACAATATTCATCTTACTAGCATATACGATAACAATATATGTATTTTCTCTTTCATTCGACTAGAAATCTGAAAGTGTAGTGGAAACTGGCATGGAAAGTAAATGTAGGAGGCGCAAGAAAGGTAAAACAAGGATGGTATGAATCGAGAAAATGTTATGAGGTGGAGACAAGTGGAAGAAAGTGTTAAAGGTAAAACACCATAGCCACTTGACTTTTGACTTTGTCCATTGTCAAAGGTTTAGAGTTTCTCGAAAATTTTCTAGTGGCCCCATTAAACTCGAGTGATTTACTTAAAAGTCTGTGGCTATGGTGTTTTCCTTTACATGAATCGCGTTTGAGATTACATTCCAACATTTATTGGCTTCTTCTCCGACTTTGACGCTAATTGTATCTCCACTTCCGATATGTTTTATAAATCTATTTTAGTTTCGCCTCTTTCTTTGAATACATCTTTGCCCTCTCAACTAGTTGTCTTCATATATGGCCAATCAGTCTTTGAATATAATAACTCCATCATAATTTCTTACTTACAAAGAAACGACTACAACTATTTAAAATGTTCAATTTTGTAAAAAAAAAGTAGTTGTCAAGATAAAAATCGGCTAATCACATACAATTATTTCAATTGGATATATATAAAAAACAAAGCCATTTACCGCTCGTTTAGTATGTGTTGATTATATATGACTTGAAAATGGGTAAAACAACTATGAAGGAGTTGTAGGAAAAAGTGTATCGATTTATACCTTCGATATTTTATTCGTAATTTGAGTTTTGAAAATATATTGCGACGGCGTTTGAACCATATATATGACATTTTCAGTGAATAATCAATGATAGAGTGAGTTGGAGTCAAAGGCATCGAGCCGTCGTAGTAACGGTCAGCCCCTCAAATTTATGCAACGGAAGCTTTAAAAAAAATGCTATGAAAAATTATAGATTAAAACTAATTGGTAATTAGTAAAAAAAAATTATCATTTATATACTAATACTGGTTTCTTCACAAGTTCGATGTGGATTCTTAACCAACATTTTCGAAATGATGATTCTCTTAAATTATTTATTTTTAGACCTCGTTTATTTAAGACCGAATTCAACATATCTCTAGATTAGTTATATATGTTTGGTGTTAATGATCTTCGGTATAAAATCATGAATCATAGGTTTCCACTTAAAATAATTTGGTATTAGTAAAAACATCCATGTCGTTATATAATATGTTAGTGTTGGTCCATTCATAATTCTGATAATTTTGATGTACCATTCCAAATAAGATGCGCCATTCTTGACAGTGGTCCATGAATGATACTGAATGTATGTTAATTTGGTGGGGGAATGTATCCTATAATTCAAGGACAAGTGTACATCATCTTTTTATTCTTTCATTGTAAACGTGCATGGCTGCAAAAAGCATATAATCAATCAAATCATATTCATATGACAAGTGATGGTTCAATGAATACAAAATAATACTATTTAGTGACTTTTCAAAAGAAGAAATAAAAATAACCGGGTAATAAATTGGAATTTTCACTTTACGAACTTATGAACCACTAAGATTAGACGCGATAATTATTAATGGCAGCAACAAAACGTTAATTGTAATGGAAATTCCGAGAAAAAAAACGGCAAGAGCGTATTCTAGCTAGATGCTAATTAATTTCGACATATTACTGACCGGTTTTTGGTGGGAGGGAGGAAGGAAGAGAAATCCATCTCTGTCATGTTTTCAGTCATCAAATACCAACAATTTTTGTCTATACATTAAAGTCTGAAACACTGTTATTTAGATAACCCCATTTGCCTTATTTTTCAATATGCCAACCTCGACTACGTTGACGCATGCAAAATATACGACATTTCAGACTGTCTCATTAGATCATGGCCACACGTTTTGTTTTGTTTTGGTTTTTATAACATCCTACATCAATTTTGGATACGGAAAGCAAACGTGGGATAAACAATCCTACCACCAAATCAATGCATCTTCTTTCTTCAGTCTTCACAGGCCCGGCCCAGCAAATTCTGAAGTTATAGTACCCAAAAATGGTGCCATGGTCGATTAGTTTAATAAAGTACTTTGGACTTTTCGTAAGTTTCTTTATATTTTTTCGAAAGACGGTCATTGATATATATATAATTTTTTCTTACGCGATTGAGTCATTTATCTTTTATATCATGTATCATAAAACGGTAATGTATATGTGGGGTATATGATATCACACTCTTGCCTTATCCACTTGAACCGGCTCTGCATGTTCATTGGGTGTGAGTGTGACCATATGATCTTCGTGTTTGATGAATATTCATGATTTCTAAGTTTATCAAATTTGATAGCGTAGATTTGTTAATATATATCACTACCATTGACGGAATTGTGACTAAATACTTTCGTAACTTTTACGGACTAACTGGCTACGAAAAAATTGTCAATAAATATTTTACCAAAAAATGAATGACGATGAGTTACAACCTTTGTCACGTTAATTAGTTATTGCATGAGACAGAGATAGTGAAAAGGGTTTTGTAGATCATTTACTTCATTATTATTTAGATTATTAGATCATTTTACATTTATAATATATTATTTGTGCTTTATACCTTCTAAATTTATTTAAGTTTTAATTGGACGTTCAATTCAAACGCTAAATGTTTTTGAACTTAGACAGGTACACCTGAACTGTCTGAACACGTAGACAGTTGAAATCATATTCGTACATATTTTGAAAATTAGTGTATAAATAGTCAAATTAATATGTCATATATTAATGTTGAAAACAACTAGACAAGCAATAAATAATTACCTTCTAGAAATTATGGAGTGTGCACACAGCTCTACTGTGACTAAAATTACGATTTTACTAGAAAATTTGAAGTAAGGCAAAAACTAGAAAATTCGAAGTATTCTTCTCTTTTTTTCTTCTTCTAAGTTTCTAGTACGTTTCACCTCGTAATCACATGCATGGTAGATACCCGAGATAAATATTCATGTTTTTTGGATTTTAATATGGTTTTGTAATTTTTAAATTATTAATAGAAAACTGAATGTCTAGCCGATAACAGCTAGCTTAACAAATAACAATCTTGTAACTAGTAAGTAGTAACTAATCGAACATAGAAATAATTGCGTAATTGTTTAAGTAACTAGTCGAAACAGCGACGTGAATGTATGCTTCATTAATCGTTAATCTGACTAACTAAATAAATGACTAGTTGAACCGTGTCTAGCTGATT